GAAATAAACCTAGTGGATTTTCAAACTTTCCGGATAGACAATAATGATCAGGACCTAATACGAAGGAAAATATCAAAGCGAAGTTGTTCTTACCTGGGATAAACTAAAAAAGAAGGTAGAAGATGATGAAACCAATATGAATATAAGCCTTGCCAAGTTGCATAGAGTTGCTGGCAAAATGTGATTTAACTACCCCAAAATACTTTTTCACAATATATTAAAATTTGTACTGCTAATTGCAATTGAAAATTATATTTTTTCAAATATCTCGCGCCCCCTGTATTATAGACGAAACCTTAAACTCTCTCTCGACACAGTTGACGATACTGTTCATATCAAAAGTATTTCATTTATCGCCAATAATTCACCCACAAAAGCGGATGTATTAGAATTTTTTGCCTACAAACGACGTACCCTGTATATAATTCTAACAATGTTAGAAATAGAAGGCTATAGCCTTGGATCTCATTAGTTTCCTGGTATCCGAATTTTTCCAATGGAGCAAATGGTTGTCAAAAAACTACTTTTTTTCTGAAACCATGCAGTACGTGGTAATAGTAAATGACGTCATCGCGTCTATACAAATACAAAAATTGTAGCCCTCGACACGGCCTATGACACTGTTTGAACGGATTAGCTATTTTTTGTACGAATTTTGAGTTACAGTTAATAATTTACTCTCTAAAAGAACAATTTTCAGGGCCTTTTAGATTTTTGTCCACAATTAAAACACCTTGTATATAATCGAAAAAATGCGTGAAATAAAAGCTATAGCGCCGGGTCTCCCAAGTATTGCGATTGTAAAATTTTTCCGAACTTATGAGTGGTTTCGAAAGAAATGTTGTTTTTCTGGATGCCAAAATAATCAAAAACTTCTTCGTGTTATTTTATTGATCCCAAATGAGCCTAAATGCGGATCCAGACTTCTACTTCTCTCCCAAGTCTGAAGTCGTTGCAGCTACCAACTTCAGACTTTTGGGGCACTTATTATGTTTTTTAATATTGCACGGAATATCGGGAACACTCTGTACAATACTCAAAAACCTTAAATACAAAAGTTATAGCTGTCTATATGGGCTGTATCGCCATGTAAAAGAAACTGACATCTAAAACATATATGTGAAATTATTGCCAATTTTCAATAATAGGGGGACAGATTTTTCCGTTTTTTTTTTTTTTTAATATACTACGCACCCTGTATATTTTTGAAAAATTGTCAAAGCTAAAAGTTTATGGAGCCATATCCTCTGCTTCTTCTGGTTCAAGAATTTTTTCGGTATTGCAAACGGCTTTTGGAAAATGGTCTTTTTTGTAGACCCTTGCACACGCGATATTTAATTTTTTTAAAATACTTGCCGACCTCCCAGTCCTCCCATTTTCAATAGGTTCCGTCACAGGGCTAGGCTGCATGTATGTGCCAAATATGAAGTCGATTGCTTCAAATTTCGGACACTTTTCGTGTTTCATAGCAACGTCCAAAAAACAGTCGAAAATCTAAAAAATGATGGACGCCTTGGTTTGATCAGACTCATTTTTTGTGTACCTCGTGCACGGCTTAAAAGGAGTCAAATTTGGTAGGGCCGTGTTGCAAACCGTTCAAAAGATATAGCCAATTAATGCCTGGTCTACAGAGAAACATAGAACGGATTACGGATAACGGAGAACAGAAAAAAAAGTTTTTTTTTCGATGCTGATCATTTCTGTACCAATGGCGGTCCCCTAGGACCTACCGTTGCCGAGATATAAGTTTGGTTGCCAAGCGCGTATACTTTCAAAAATTTCGATTTCATCGATTTTTCGAAAAAATGTTGATAATTCCGTGACGTTCCTGTGTAACGCTTAAAACGTATTTATTTAATGCGACCGAGTGTTCGAGTCGGAATAACTGCGAATGCCCGTTTTTCCGACCGATCTACTGAAAGGGTCAGCGACTGCGCCCCCCATTCTAACGACCTTGGAAGGTTGCCGCGCACTGACGTCAAGATCTGAATCTAGACCGGTTTAACCGTAACGATATAACGCCCGGAACAACGTAAAGTACAAGATGGCGCGATTAAGTTTAACGTTTTTATTTGACAGTAAATAGACGCAAAAACAAATTCGTTACTGTTACATTCTAATCGCCGTTCTCGCATTAAGAGGGTCGTTTAAAAAGTAATAATAATAATATTTTTCTAAAGAATTTTCACAAGCTACCGTAATACTTTCTGCAAAACTTCTGGATTCCTCCTGCGTCGGTTTTTCTTGTCATTCTTTACATTCAAAACATCACTGACCCCGTATCAAAAGTTTTAAAGAAATATAACCTCAAAAAAAATCGATCCGTCAATGACAAAATTCCATTAAGATGCCAAAATTTCAATGAAATCAAAAATCAATCAAAAAAAAAAAAGAGAGTAACAATGTTAACCGCGACTCAGGTCTCTCCCTGTCACCAATATGGGAATCATCCGAGACGGTGTTTATGCCCCTAATTTAGCTCCACCCCCCTCAAAAAATATATACGCAGGTACAGAGTAAAATGCGAGCCAGTTTCAGTCAAGCATTTGAAGAAGCCAACAGTCTAAAAATTCATTATTGGTAAAATGTTATTTGTCCTAGATACTAGAACTGAGCTGGATTTAAAATATTTATTATAATTACTATAAAGCTTAATGGCAGTACAGCTAAAGCAGCGTTCAAATTTACAAGAATTGTGATGGAGCATATCCAGAATATTTCTCGTCCTGCACCATCCATTACCGCTCCTAAGTTTGCCGCTTCATTTGAAAACATAAGATCTTATATATCTTATAATGGCTGTTTTTTTTTTTCGATGTATAGACCTTTAAGTTGGCATTACTGTTCAAGATGGCCGATTTAACAGCTGTCAAGTGATTTATTCGCAGTTTGGTTTGGCAATTCATCATGAATAGACTCACGCCTGAACAACGCTTGCAAATAGTGCAATTTTATTTCGAAAATAATGGTCCTGTGCGGAATACGTATCGCGCACTACGTCCATTTTATCGTCGACAAAATCGTCCATCAGAGGAGTTAATTCGATTAACCGTGGACCACGTTTACTCTTATTGATAACTCGCATCCCCAGAGACGCCGTACGGTGCGTACAAAAGAATCTATTGCTGCTGTAGAGCGTAGCATTGAGGAAGACCCGAATGAGTCCATCCGCCATCGAGCACAGGAATTGGATCTGTGTCCATTCAATTTATGGAAGATTTTGCGGAATGATCTTTTTTTACGTGCTTACAAAATCCAAATCGTGCAAGAATTGAAGCCAAACGATCATCAAGTAAGGCGTAGATTCGTCGAATGGGCCCAAAACGAGATTGCCGTTGTTCCCGATTTTCATAAGCGACTTTTGTTTAGCGATGAATTGCACTTCTGGTTGAATGGCTACGTCAACAAACAAAACTGCCGCATTTGGAGCGAAGCTAATCCTCAAGTGTATGTCGAAACACCGTTACATCCAGAAAAACTGACTGTTTTGTGCGCTTTATGGGCTGGTGGAATCAATGGTCCGTACTTCTCCAAAAACGATGATGGCCAGAACGTTATAGTCAATGGTGATCGGTATAGAGCTATGATTACTAACTCTTTCATTCCTGAATTGAATAACCATGATGTTCAGGAGATGTGGTTTCAACAATACGGCCCAACATGTCACACAGCTCGTGCCACAATCGATTTATTGAAAGACACGTTTGGTGAGCGTCTAATTTCACGTTTTGGACCTGTGAATTGGCCTCCAAGATCTTGTGATTTAACACCGCTAGACTAGTTTTTGAGGGGCTATGTAAAGTCATTGGTCTATGCGGATAAGCCACAAACGCTTGACCATTTGGAAGACAACATTCGCCGTGTTATTGCCGATATACGGCCACAAATGTTGTGGCTAATATGAGGACCTAATAGAGTCTTAGATAAACCCTTGTGTAACAAACTGCAAAGTACACTTAAATAGCAACAGAGGAAAGATGTTTGTGTAATATGTTTTAGTGTACAAGAATTACAGGAAATATAAAAAAACAATTAAGCTGCAAGTTTGACTAGGACAATCACAAGAAATGCCCCTTGAGAATTACGAATCCTTGTAAAACTCAATGTGGGAAAGTTTTCGTTTGTCATCACTATTAGTGAAAGCGAAATTGTCTTGCAGTTGGTTAAAAATTACAGAAATTATTACCGCAGAAAGTGGGGAATTACCAGATTCAGTTCAACGGCAACAGGAAGAATTTAAACGATAAAAAAAGGAAATTTTTGAGAATTACCAGGAATTCTAGTCAAATTCAAAATTTTAGGGTACTTCATTTGTAGTTCACCTACCTCCTCAGGGAGGTAAGTGATTACTACATTACGTACACACAAAATTTAACTCTGATTAAATAGAAGCAGTTCTGTCAACAAATACTGATTTTGTAAATCTGCTTGTTGGATTCGGGAAAATTTGAGTAGGAAAAATATTATATGCATAAGTTGGGAAGAAGAGATCTTGGTTAGTCTCCGACTATTTTCCCAACGCTTGCCTGACTACCTACGTCCCTTGTGTGCATAACTATTTAGTAAATTGTGTATCAATGGGGGTCCCCTAGAACCTTCCGTTACCGAGACAGAAGTTTCGTTGCCAAGCCCGTATACTTTCGAAAAATCGATGAAATCGAATTTTTCGAAAGTAACAAGTTTTTCCCAAAAACACGAAAAAGGTACGGAGAGATTCATAATGGCACAGACTAGAGTGTTAGTATTCTCCAGCAATAGCAATTCCTAATGCGGCGTTGCCAATTATATTCGGATAATTTCAGAGACTGATTTTGCGTTCTTAAGAAAATGAACCAATTTTTTCAGAAAAATGACGGCAATGTGGCAATTCAGTTAGTAGGGGGTGACGCACGCGCAAAAAATCCACACCTTCCCTACGGAAATATCGTAGCAGGGCCGCTATATTATCTTATAGCTCTACGTTTATATGCTCAAACCTGACGAGGCGAATTTTATTGCAGATGGCGTGGCAGCGTTTACAAGCTGGTGTGGCGGGAACTGATAGCCTATCTGTTCCTCTATTATTCGATAAATCTCCTGTACAGGTTCGGACTTGACGAGCAGCAACAACGGTAAGAAAAATAACGGAAATTTGAATAATTGTAGCGGGTTTTAATCTAGTTGCGACGCAGTTGCTTAAAACCGGATTTTTGTCGATTAAATTAGAGTAAATAAGTATAGGCTTTACTAATGTCCCGAGGTTCGTAAAGTTATACTGAAATATCTTCAATTAACCCATAATTTTGGTTATTAGCAGGGTGTATTCTAATTGAATACGATGTTAAAATAAAAATTACTCTCCCAATCTCCAATAATTTCTAAAGAAATTTAATATCCTGATTCCTGACAAAAACCTCTTATTAATTTGTTATTGTTGTTGTTGTTATTTTAAAAAAAGATTGGTCGGGTTTACTAATGAAGAGTTGGTACATATGCATTTTACTTATGGTTTCGCTTATGGTAGAGTCATGTCATACTTGATGAAAATCCTGAACTTAATACTAGAAAAATTGAAAATAATCTGAATATCTAATATGCTATCATATACATTACCATCACCGGTTTTTGGAAGAGAATTTGTCAAAATTGCGAGGACAAATACCATATTTAATTAGGCACGATTTTATAAATAAGAACCAGAAGTTCAGAATTTCACTAAATTATATATATCTTCACTAGGGTAATATATATATATATATATATATATATATATATATATATATATATATATATATATATATATATATATATATATATATATATATATATATAAACACATGACAGTTATTTCGACACTGTGTCATTATGAAATGTAATATTTACAAACTACCTGCTACTATATATACCGAAAAATGAGAGGTATTTAAATCTAATTGATCCTTAAACAATACATTTGAATGTCTCATTTTGTTAATCTCCATGGCTTCCAATAAATTTAATTTTCTATTTTTTGTGGCTGTATGTAAAATATCAAAATTGTAGTCAAAAATGTGTTTCTGTGTTCATAATTAGAATCTAGACTATTCTTTTTAAATGCTCTTTTATGTTCGTTAATGTGTTTCTTGTTTGTCCAATATAAATTTTAGGACAAGATCCGCATTTCAATCTGATTTTTGAGATTTTGGACATTTCGGTTTATTGCTTTTTAAAAAATTTCCTATTATGTTGTCCGTTCTGAAAGCTGTTTTTAAACAACATTTTGACAAATCTTTTGAAACTTTTTCACTGGGTTCTCCTATGTATGTAATTGTTTTAAATTGATCGCGTTCTGTATTAGGTTTCGAATAAATAGAGTTTACTGTTGTCTGGATTTGTTTTTTATTTATAGTTTTATCGATAATGGACGGATTGTAGAGTTTGAGAGTGGCGTTGTCGAGATATGAGTTTCGTCGCCAAGCACGTATACTTTCGAAAAATTCGTTTTTATCGACTTTTCTTCAATGTTTAAAATGTTTTCTTCCTCCTTAAATCAGCTTCTAGCTGATTTAAGGAAAATATTGTTCTGCGCAAAATAAAAGATCTTTGCGTTGTTTTCAATTTGGATTCTTGCGCAGGATATTCGAGAAGATCCGGATGTACTTCGGGCAGCAGAGCGAGACGATACCGATGTCGTTCGTGCTCGGCTTTTACGTCTCTCTCGTGGTCAAGAGGTGGTGGGAACAGTACAAGCTCCTTCCTTGGCCGGATACCCTCGCCCTGTTCCTGAATGCCGGAATTCCTGGCGCGGTGAGTAATACAGAAAGAAAGATAAAGATCTAGGTCAAATTCGGCGTGTTCATAAAGTGAAGTGACTTTTGTACATCTACATCATATTTTTTCAAATGAACATTCTGTATATTATATATGTGTTTAATTTGACAATTTTGGCAATTGGGCAAAAATAGGAAATTTTTGTATAATTTCAAACAGTGCCGTGACTAACTGCAACAGCAATAATTATTTACAAATTAGAGTAGAACAAAAACACTAAAAATGAGGAGACACGCTGAAGTAAAGAATTCTTTAACTATTCTAAATATGTGACCGCCATTTTTCTAAACACATTTCTCGTACACTCTAATTGTATGATGTCTTGCATTTAGTGACTTTTTCGGATAGTCTCTTGACTGATTAATCGCCTCTGAAATCCCTTGCCGAAATTCCACGACATTACTACAACGATTTCAAAAGAAAAAATCCATTAAAGTTAAGTCAGGGCTGTTTGCTGGCCAATCCATAGTTACGCCATCCGACCGCTGGGATAATCGAAAATTGTGATTGTCATAATTAGCGCTGATGTATTTGGGATTAAATCTTCTATATATTGTTCTATTGGGTGCTCTAAGAGTTGCAAATAATGATCTCAAGGTAAATTTGCCATAGGGCAATAACAACTGCAATGAAAACATGAAACATGCATAATAGGAAAGACTAGACGAGACCATGTAAGAAACGAAGATATCCGGCAACAATCTAATATTCGAGATATAGTAAGATGTGGGCGAGAGGGAAGAAGAAATTGGAATCAATACGTAACGAGAATGGAAGAGCACAGGTTAGCAAAGATCACAACAGATGGAAAACCCGAGGGGAAAAGATCAAGAGGAAGACCACAAAAAAGATCGCAAGATAGCTGGTCATCAGAATCACAAATAAGATTAAATATTATCCAGTATACACAAGTCATTTGACTTAACGTAGGAATAATAAGAAGAAGGTGTATGGCACATCGTTCGCCAGGAAATTTTATTAGAATACGGATTTTTTAGAAAAAGTGGGGGTATCCCATTTAAAGAAATATATCTCGGGAACTAAAGGCTCTAATACAAAACGGTTAAAAAAAACTTAAAAAAATGTTTTTTTCCCAAAACTCTATTCTTACAATTAAAAAAGTTATAGAAGGCCTTAAAAATCGCGCATTCTTGAGAACCACCCTGCTCAAAAACGCCTTGACATATCATGATGCGGTTTTTAGTTTTCGACTTCCCTCGAAAATCGAGCCGCTAACATGCATATTAGTTTTGAGCTAACTGTGCTGCAAATGCTTAAAGCCATAGAGGCCACTCGAATTTGGACCACCAGGTAAACTAACCGAAACTAACCAAAAAAAAAAAAATAATAATAATATCTATGGATTCGGAACAATAGCCTCGTGTCCCCCATTGGCGTGGAGGCTGTCGCCGTGTGCAAATAACCGTTTTTCGTGATCTGCATGCCCGAATGGGTAAAAATCGAGCGACGTTCTATTGTTTCACGACGCGCTTACGTAACCCGCGTTGCGCAGTCGTATCGGCGACCGAATTCGTTGAAATTTTCGATTTATTGACCCAATGCGGCGTGACGCTTACACGTGACAATATTAAAAGGTATTACTAGGGCGGAGCGAAAAGTTTTGCGGACTGACCACTAGGTGGCGCCACTAGGCGACATAAAGGTGCGATGTTAGGGATCGTATGAATCTTTGAAGAATGTATTTATTATTGTTTGAATATTGTATTTTATTATTTTTACATAGTACGTGAACTGTGTTCAGATAGGTAGAGACAGCTGTAATAATTGTTTTATGTTATGATGACTTCAACTCTGTAAAATGAGTTTCACCACGAATAAGTAACACGTAAAAAACTCATTTTGCGGTTTTTGGGAGTTCATTTTCTTGACAGCAACTATCTATAGGCAATATTGAAATTGGTTTAATTGGTTGAATTGATTGTGTATTCTAAATTTTATAGATTATTTAGCTGCAAGTTGTTTAACCGTATCGTTTTTTATTGAAATTATATTGTAAAAATATAGGCATGTCATTCTTTGTTTAATATTTCATACCCAACTTCTATTGTAATCGGTGGTTCAGTATAATATAGTCGGTACGATTTGCATTGGCAAAGTGGGTCATAAAATCAGAATGATTTTTTCATTTTTAATTTTATATGGTATGGAGAATTCATTCATTTCATGCCAAGTACAACTGATTCTGTCGCTCTTATTCCCAAGTAATACAATCGCGATCGTTGCATTGATCAGATAGACATTTATTATAGTATAAGTGAAAGCAAGATGAACAATCTGTTTTAATCTGTCTGACGTTTTATTGTCGACTATACCATCACAAATCGTATCGACTATAGCTCTAATCTGGACTCAGGAAATGCACTATCACGCCCAGAAGTCATTTCCTAAGCCGTAAAGATAAATACTTCGAAAGTATAATACGACCAAAAATATAGTGCACTTATTGCTTTGACGTTTTAAGTAATTTACAGTACCTTAACCGCAGACATTCGCAGGGCCGTGGTAAAACCCATCCCGACATTAATTAGGTCTTGCATTGATGCTGTATTTTCATATTCACATCAGGTGATATAATAGAAATCTAAATTGCTTTATGTTAATATATATTACGGAGGTATTTGACTGTGAACCTTCCAGTAAGTACGTATTTATGTATCTGATTCTCGAGGTTTGACCTTGGGACGCTGTTTTCAATGGATATTTCAAGGGTTAAAAAGTACGCCATAAAAATACAGATAAATATTACTTACAATCTTACAATTTTTTTTTTAAGGTTCCTATTTTTTAACACTTCAAAATGTGGAGACTGTGGAATTAAGCAGATATTCCCCTGCTAGAAGACGAAGTGGAGATGGTAGTAGAACCTCAAGACAATTTAGAAGACGAACTACCTCAGCAAATAAAAAAAAATCCATTTGTCTTCGGATGCTAAACAAATTGTTTCGAATGTTTGCGATTTTAGGAGAAATTCAGGAAGGGAATTAGAAGCAGCAATAAAAAAAACCAAACCAATGTTCCCAAGTTAACTGTAAGAAAAATTATTGCAAATGGGATAGTCAAGAGGAAAGTGAGAGAAGATATTGGTACTTGGCCAGTTTTTAACGAGAAACACGCGACAGCGTCGTAAAGTGAATATTGTTTTAATCCTAGAAGAACTGCACACAAAAAGTACTGAGAGACTTAAACATTAGTTGTGCCAAGGAGTCGTTAATAAACGTGAACTGGTCATGACATCTCAAAGAATTACGCAATGGAGGGTGGTTTATCTAAATGCCATTCAACAATTTCGAGAGTAAAATAGGTCAATAATATATTTAGACAAAACGTGGTTCGACACTCACGTCACAGAAATAAATGGATGGATGGTGTGATAACAGTAACAAGTGTGTACTAGACATGCCGCCTTCACATGGAAAACGCATAACAATTCTGCATGCTGGATCCAAAAATGGTTGGGTGGAAGATGCGTGTGAAATATTTGGCGACTGGTTTGAAAATAAACTGTTTCCAAAACTATCGTCAAATCATTTATATTTTGAAGAGAGCTACACGAAAAAACAACTTCTTGAATCATTAAAAATAATTTTTTTTAATGAAAACTACAAAATCGATTCGATTGCACAACAAAGCGGACATGAAATCTTGAGATTACCCCCTATCATTGTATGAGTATTTAACCCGATCGAGATAATTTGGTGTGAGTTGAATGCGCATATAAGAAAAAAATAATACTGCATGAAAAGGATAGGACCATAAACGTAATTCGGAAAAACGAGTAATAAAAGAAGAAAATATTTATCGAGAATGATTAACGGCGGAGTTAGTCATTGAACTAGGTGACTTCAATAGCGATAGTGACGATTTTTCAAGTGACTGATACTTTATTATTATATTTAATATTTTGTATAATAATAATGACAATATGTGGAAATGTAATGAAATAGAACGTAATAAGTTGTTTGTTACTTTGTACTATTTTTTTTTTAATTAAAACATACTTATATCCAGCTTGTTAGTCTAGGTAGATAAATTCCTAGGACGGTTGTGGAATAGTTACGGGTAAGGGTCTCCTCGGCAGGGGCTGCGGTTTTGGAGTAATAAACAGTAAAACAATAAACAGTAGGCGACGTTAATCACGGAGTAGATTGTAAGAGCACTATATTTCTGGTCGAAGTATACCAACCTTTAAACTTTGCCACACAACAGGCCTCGCAAGGGAAACGCGTCGCCTGTTTCTGCATAGCTGCATACTGTTTATTGTTTTTGACATTTGCTTTATCAACCGGCCATTTTCAATCCATTCATGCCAATTCTGAACATCTAGCTGCCGATCTGTATCCTCGGAACGCATTCAGAAGAATGGTAAATCGCGAAAATCTTCAATTTTTATTTGCGCCACACTATGATGTTACGATTTTAATAATGTTATTAAGTCCCTCGATTGTGTAATAGTTCCGAGTCTGTAAACTAATTTCACTTTGAATGCTGTACGTCCAATTATCTTAAGTGGTCAGTTTATCTCGCCAGTATCGAATCATTAGGAACGAAATTGCCGCCATTTGTAATAATTTATCTGGCCTATCACTCTGCTACCGCAATTCTAGTTATGTAAAGCTCATTGGTGAAAAAGATGAATGGAATGTTTTTTTTCCACCTATCTTCCTATCTATGGTCTTTCTACGTCTGTGACGTCACCGTTCGTATTAATTTATTAAAATTTAAAAGGCGAAATATTTTGCGCAACTTTATTTACAAAAAAAAAGGTATTAGTAGATAGAAAAGAGTGGAGATGGGACAAAGACCAGGGAATATTAAAGGAAACCAAAACAAAAAACTAATAAAACCCGTTTTCGGGGAAAATATGACCAACTTGGCAACGAACAAGGCTATGATAAAGGAAAAAAGGAAGGACCACGCGGCGAAAACTATAATACGCTACGGAATATGACAAAACAGTCATCGATACCAAATCAGCCAGGAAGGAGCCCACATGACGACTTCCCAACAAAAGCGTTGCAGGGAAATTTAAATAGAATTGTGATACCAAATCAAATACAGGAAAAGGCAATGAGAAAAACGGAAATGGAAAAGTAGAAAAAAACTGCAAAGGAAAATAGCAACATGGAATGTACGAGGACTTAATCGAAAAGAAAATGAACTAATAAGAGAATTTGAAGAGATAAATGTAAGCATACTAGGAATCATTTATTGACTACGTTTCGTACAAAAGGAACGTACAATTGTAGCAAGTCAGAAGTTATATTCAAGTGTAAAATCACAATAAAAAATAACATAAAGACACACATGTTGAATAAAGCTGCTAATACTACAGGGTGGTTCATTTAAGATGTTTTTCCATGTTTTTGCAAAAATGTGATTTTTTACACATGAAAACTCACTCAAACGCTTATGTGGAAACCCATTGAGCACTGCGAGTTGCACCCGAACTTATTCGGCGTGCGACGTTGCCATGTTTATTTAAATTCTCAAAAATCGGGCTAGGCAAATTAACATGAGGCGTTAACACCATGGTAAATATTAATGCTTGTACCATAGCACAAATGACCATAAATGTGTTTATTATAAATACAAAAAAAAAAAGATTTTTTTTTATGAAATAACATTAATATGTGAAATGATACGGAATTAAAACCCAAACCGAACAAAAATGCTATATACAGGGTGTTCCATTAAAAAAGTATTTTTTTTAAATTACCGTTTTCCCGGTTATGTTACGCGTTGGCAAAGAAACTCTAAATCAAGAGAAAAATTCATGGCTTTTAATTGTTGCAGAGCGAGAGACAAAGACTGATGAGGCGCAACATTGTAAGGTACGCGGTTTTGGCTTACGTAGTGACGCTGATGAGGATCTCTTTGAGGGTTAAGAAACGTTTCCCCACATGGCAACATCTAGTCGATTCTGGTAAGTAAGCGGCATAGGGAGAAACGGACAAAAATTTAATTAAGTAGCTGTCAGAAATCATCAAATAACTGTGAAAATCTGAACATTTTCACAGATTACTGTAATAATTTTTATAAAGCCTGTGCATTCCTTTTGCAACACTTTTTGCTGTGACGAACTTGCTGACGTTTCGCCACTCATCCTGTTGGCTTCTTCAGAGCTTGACTGAAACATTCGTTGTTCTGATTCAATTGTCCTATAAATTACTTAGGAACGAGTTCTCAAAATATTTTTCAACTTATATGAAATAATATCTCAAATTATAAATAACAAACAAGTAAAAATAAAGTAATATAAACGCGACAAACGAAACAAAAATTAATTAGATCGTATTAAAATAACGAAAACTATCTCTAATTTATGTTGGTTTTAGCAATATTTGTAATTTAGCTGGAGAATCGGAGGAGCCTTATTCACTTGGGATGATTTTATGATCATCAGTTTGGGATTCTGAAGATTCTGGAATTTTAATGTACCCTAGAATGTCAGAAACTGAAGCGCTTTCTATTTTATTTTGTTTGAAAGGAACTTCCACTGGCTACTGTTATACTTTTTATAAAACTTCTGGATTCCTCCTGCGTCGGTTTTTGTTAAGTCGAACTAGCTAACGTTTCGTGAATCATCCTGTTGGCTTCTACATAGCTTGACTGAAACTGGCTCGCATTTTACTCTGGACCTGCTTTTATATTGATTGAGGGGGGCATAGCTAAATGACGGGCGTAAACATCGTCTCGGATTGGTGACAGGTCGTGGTTAAGATTGCTAGGTTGTTTATAGATTTCTATAGAAGAAGAATTTTAGTTTTATTAAATAAAATCATCGGTTATCAATTCTCTTGTTTACAGAGCAATAAAATTACCTCAGCCCGAATCATTGAACCGAGAATTAAAACACCTTACCTCTGCTCTTCTCTCTAACAATTTCCACATTAAAGATATTAAGCGTTTGATCACGGAATACACTTGCCACTGTTGTCCTTCCTTATATTCAAAACATCACTGACCACATATTAATAAGTTCTAAAGAAATATAACGTCAAAACCAGATTTACCACTTGCCCAAAAATCTCTCAACATCTTTGATCCGTCAAAGACAAAATTCCATTTGAGATGCTAGGAGTTCACAGCATTCCATGCATATGAGGCAAAAAATAACTAAGCTCAAAGAACATGAGTATTAAGACTAAGACAAATAAACTCCTTAGCAGTTGGCGAACACAATCACGAAAGCGGACATAAGAGAGTATATAGAAATCTATAAGTAACCTAAAAATCTTAACCGCAACAGGATGATTGGCGAAACGTCAGCAAGTTCGACTCAGCAAAAACCGACGCAGGAGGAATCTAGAAGTTTTTAAAAAAGTGAGGCGCTTTTCTTCATAACATAAATATTTCTCCTGGAGGATATAAGAGGATCGGAAGTGAAAACTATGTGTCTTATCAGATCTGTATTTGATCGGTAATTCACAATGTTCCATAATTTCGCACCAGCGAACCAACACTTTATGGATACTACTACTGAAATCTTGTTTTGGTATATCTCCCTGTATGGATTTTTTAGTATTTTGGAAAACGGTTTTGTGTTCGGCTCTCCTTACTTGTAAGCACTTAAAAGGTGAGCGTAACAGGAATTAAAAAAAAAAAAACGGATCCATGTATGAAGTATTGACAAATCAAATCAAAGATTTTCTGGATCAAAAAGTCCATTTTCAATAGTCTATTTCGAAATAACATATTTGGTTGGTGAATTTAATTGCAGAATATTACTAAGACAGCTGTCAAATATTGTAAAAATCAGAAAACAGAAATTTAACGATCTACAGAACAAAGTGGATCCTCACAAAAGTGTTTTACTGTTATTTCAGAGTGAATATTTAAAAATTGTGATTAGCCATGAAAAGTTTTTTCTAATATTACTTCTAATTTGAAAGGTAAAATTTGATTTTTAAAGTTCCTTAAATTATGTTTACTTTGAAGGCAATCTCTATGATGGCTATACAATATTTATCTCTTCGTTTTTTAGTTTTACTTGAATCTTCATTGGAAGATTCAAAGGGGCTGCCACGACTAGGTCCAGGCATGTCTTCAACTTGTTTTCTTGATACATTAACAAGTTCATCAGGAAGTGAACATTCACAAATCAACACAACGCTTTAAAAAATATGGCCTACTTCTCGTGCAATTTCTAAACTTAGTTTTTACAGTCAAACAGAAAAATTTTACTTTTTCTTCTAAACAGTCAAATGTATTATATGGAATCATGTCAATGTTCAATAAGCACTTAATTTTGTTGATAACAATAATTCGCACAAAGTATTAAATTTTTCTAAAAGTTTAATAATCTTACGAATGGTTTTGGATGTTTTTTAAAAGTTTTCATTTAATTTTAGTGTAAAAAAAGCTTTATTACTCCGACAAACCAATAAAGAATAAAACACAATATGAATATGCAAAAGGTACGCAATGTCGATTTTCCGTTATGGAAAATTAGTGTTTGGATTCTATCTAAATTTTGATTGTAGTTGAATATTCCATCTGTTTTTACGATTTGAGACGATACTTTATATGGAAATAGTATTATGGGGGCTTTAAAAAAATTGGCAAATGTCAAGGAAAACAGCTGAGTCGCCATCGTCGGGTGTTTTTTTGTTCCGATCTGCTTTTTGCCCGTCGCCCGGTATTAGCAATGCTTTCTAAAACGTTTCGACCGACGTTTGTCAAGGCGAGAACGATTGCGCACAGGCTTTTGCGTTTTCTACGTGTGCGAAACGATTTTTACGAAAAAATTCGCACCGAAAGCAGCGAATTTCGTAAACACGACATAAAATCCAAAATTTACTATCGGTGGAATAAAAATGTGTTTTGGACGGAGACTTTCGTAATTCCAACAATTGGACGTTGATTTTTTTTCCAAATGCCAGAATTAAACCGGAAACTATAAAAAGAATGCCGGCATAAAAGGGAGGAAAACGCGCCTCACGCTTTTTTGTTGCTGAATGTTCTCGACTCTTAGGATTCACGAATCCTAAAATCCGTAAAGTTCCCCCGGAATAATCCTTTCAATGGAGTATTAACTACGGCTGATCAAGTTCATTAAAAACGTCATTTTCTTATCCCTGTTATACAGCGTGTCGGAATAGCGTGTCAAAGTAACGTATCTGATTTATTATTTGTTTTTGAGGAAAATGTTAAACACAAAAGTTATAGCAGAGACTAATAGAAACAATTAGAAATTAGTCTCTAACATGCGGAAATAAAACTAATAATTTTCACATTAAACACCCTGTACATTATGGCATCCCTCTTCCGATCTATAGCCATTTTTTCGTCAAAATTACAGGCTGCGTCAAAATGATATTAATTTTCGTGAAAAACAATGCGATAGGACAAAGTTATTACAAAGAAATAGTTTCATTTACTTGGCCAAGTTTGGCGGGAGTCAAGCTTTTGGCTACTCTACTGAGCCGGAGACATACAGTTTAATGACAATTTTTCAACACTACCGTAATACTTGCAACAAAAGTTCTGGATTCCTCGTGCGTCGGTTTTTGTTGAATCGAACTTGCTGACGTTTCTCCAATCATCCTGAAACTGGCTCGCATTTTATTCTGTACCTGGTTATATATGGTTTGAGGGGGGCCGAGCTAAATGAGAGGCATAAACACCTTCCATCTAAAACCAAAATTATGGAAACGCTACGTCGATGGTAATTTTGTTATTTGGTTTCATGGTCAGAAATCCCTAACATACGTTTTGAAATAGAAACTAATAACAATCTCCCATTCCTAGACATTCTTATCAATATAAAACCAGACCTAAAATTGGGTCATTTTGATTACAGAATACCTACGCTCACAGACCGATACCTTAATGCTTGGTCACATCACCATCCGGCCGAAAAATCATCGGTTATCAATCTCGAGTCACTGAACTAGAATTAAAACACCTTACCTCTGCTCCTCTCTCGAATAATTTTAACATTAATGGAGGCAAGGATTTACGTGCTTTTTGAATCTAATTTGCTGTCTAGGATCACTCCCAGATTCTTGGCACGATCTTTAAAATTTAATTTTGAGTCGGTGATCGCTATATTTCATTTGTTCTTGAGAAAGTTCTTATCATTCCCAAAACACAATAACGCATAATTTACTGAAACTACAATAAATTTGTGTGTCATCCGTAATAGCTTGAATCTTACAAAATATTAGAAGTATCAATGAGGAAAACAGCGGGCCTAAAATTGATCCCTGAGGAACACCGGTTCGAATTTCTACCTTCTATGAGTATTTATCATTTGAAAAATTTGATAGAAATCTACAAATTAAGTATGGTTTGAGTAGATTAGAAGTTTCTGCATTAAAAGCCACTACTAGCTCGTGACTAATTGTATCGAATGCCTTCGAAAAGTCTAAAAGCACTAAAACTGAACTCATTTCATTATCACAAGCTTGAAGAATCAATCCAATCAATCATCCAATACAATAGTTAAAGCTATGCATATTATACAGAAAAAAAGCACTAAAAAATTAAGAACAAAACTGCGAAATAAAAAAGAACTGTTTAATTAAGTTTTACTTTATTCATTTCTTTAATTTGCATAAAAGAGGTTATCTGAAAACATTATGGTTTGATAATATTTTGGACTTTTAGAAAGGCAAAATTATGACAAGAGAGGAATTTTTTTTTTCACAAAATAAAAAAATATTTTTATTTTTCTTAGCTCTTCAAAATTTGGCATAGTTTTGTTGTGGGTTCTGAATTTCAGGTATAGGAAATACTTAATAAAATTGAAATTGATTAATGGAAATATAATATATCAACGATTCGAACTTCAAGACAAAATTATATATTATAAAATTAATTTTTTTTTTACGAAAAAATGTCTGTAAATGTGAAACATTCGGTTTTATTTAATAAATAAAAGTTTAGGTTTTCGCATAATGTTAAATTGTTTTTATTAGTTTTATCTATAACTTTCGTATTTCGCATTGTTTTTCTAAAACATGTATTTAATGAGATATATTACTTCCATTCCATAAGATCACCTTCTTATTCAAGTGTCCATCGCAGCAAGGTTGTCAACCACATTTACCCTCTCTGGACCGGTAGTAATCTATATCCGAGTCTGTGGAGAACTTCTTCGTTGGTGATCCAGTCGTTGCAAGGAATCCAGCATTTTACGATGCCAAACCCTTCATTCGGCAGTGAAATACTCAGATGTCTAGTTCTGAGAACGTAAAGCCTCTCTGGACTGTTAGTACTCGTCTCTTGCCTATTTCGCGATATTCAATATATGCCAAAAAAAATTCTCTCTTAACAAAAGTCAATGGTATAATAGTGACAAAATTGCTTGGTCACAAAGATTTTCTAGTATTCTTTTCTTTCATTTGCTTCTTCTTTTGTCTTCCTACTTGTACCTTCTGCCGGCTACAAAGTTACTTAATAAAAGGCGGCGCCTTAAAAATTTCGATTCGTACGAGGTGCGGTCAAATAGCGTCACGTATACGCGGCCTCGGCAAAATCACTCGAACGATTTCCAGGTCTCATGATGGACAGCGAGAAGAAGATATTCGAGTTGATGGACAGCAAAACGCCGATGTCAAAGTACTGGATGCCGTTGGTATGGGCGACGAATCTGATCAATAGGGCGCGCAAAGAAGGGCTGACCACGAGCGATCATATTGTTCAGACGATGCTGACGGAATTGTCCGACATCAGGAGACGATTGGGATCGCTGATCGGCTACGACACCGTTAGCGTTCCTCTCGTGTACACCCAGGCGAGTTCTGCTCGATTACCACCTACGCATGACGTAACAATAGCGACTTTCGCAGGTGGTATCTCTGGCGCTCTACGTTTACTTCATGGCGGCGCTGTTGGGGAGGCAGTTCGTCCCGTACGCGACAGATGTCGCTTTGCAGAACAAACTCGAAGGACCGGACGTGTTTTTTCCGTTTTTCACTGCCTTGCAGGTACGCGTATTGCGTATAGAGTATTATACTTGGACCAGAAATATAGTGTTTTTACAACAGACCCCGTGATTAATTTTGCCTATGGATTATTACTTCAAAACCGCCACCCCTGCCGAGCAGACCCTTAACTAACAATTCCAGGACCGTCCTAGCAATTTGTCTACCTACACCATCAAATGGGTTATAAGTATGTTTTCAGTCTTTTCGCCGAGCAATTCTTGAAACGTGTACATAAAGAAATTAGTCCAAAGTAACAATTTATTATGTTCTATTTCATTAAATTTCTACATAGTATCATTATTAATATACAAAATTATTCAATTGCAGGTTCTCATATTAAAGAATGTTGTTCTGGCTTGCTCGATCCTGCCACGTATCTCTAAATCTGGATCTAGATCTTCAGTAATCCAACTACCGAAATATCTGAACTTGGTGACCTTTTGGATGTTCTCGTTTTTTACTCTTATATTTAATTGCATGTTTCGTGTTCTGCTAACAACCATTACCTTCTTCTTCAGTCCCAGTCGTTCTCCTTCAGTGTTTATTCTATCTATTAGTCAACTTAGCGCTTCTTGGCTGTCGGTTACTATGACTGAATCATCAGCATAGCGAAGGTTATTAACAGTCTGGCCGTTAATCTAACCGACAAGAACACAAGACAAATATGATTATTTTCAGACTTACCTGTAAGATAAATAGGGTACAGTTACTTACCATTACTCTTTGATCTATCCAGTGAAAACAACTTCGCAGGGTCCAAGTTCGACAATCAGGTAGATAAATACGTACTTGCTGGAATGATCACAGTCCAATACCTCCACAATATATAGGAATGTAGTGCAATTTAGATTAAACTCTTAAGAACGACACATATCACCTGATGCATAAATGCTCAATCAAATTTAAAACGATCCATTAACGATTCAAATAAAAATTTCAAGTTTTTACAAATATAATGCAGAATAAACATCTGTCGGGATGGCTTTTACCATGGTCCTTCGAAGGCTGCGGTCAAGGTACTGTAAAATACTTAAAACGTCAAAGCAATAAATGCACTATATTTTTGGTCGTAGTATAATAATTTACCTCTCAGCTGCCAGATTTAGGGATAAGCACTATCGAAAGACTTAGACCCTCGAATAATTCAGATGATCTTGCTATCTAATAAATTCGTCTATTAATTTCATGTTTATGAGAACCACAAACTTGCGACTTGGGAGAGTTTAAAAAAACTGAAAATTAGGTTTTCATCGAAAAAATTATTTGACCAAAGGACGCCCGAAATTCCGGAAAAAACCTTGGTACTTTTTGGAAAATGTGTAATATATGCAGCTAAACTTTGCTACTTAAAGTATTCCGATGTTTGAGATATTTTGTGCTAGAATATAAAATATAGTGGGTGCCTTAAATTTTCAGCTATCAACTTTAGATTTGACAGGAAATTTGCAGTTCATACCCACGTCTTAACTGTAGAAGTTGGACTCAATCAAGTTTCAAGAAAATTGTTTTTGGGTTATCTTATCTTCCAGAAAAAACTATTTTCTCCAAAACTGTTCACACGATCGGCAAAATTCTTGAACGAGAAGACGCCAAACCTCCTATTTCAGGCATTTTTTTGTTATCGACAAAAACCTACGACCCTGAAAAATTTTATACAGTTCTGTAGGCCGCACCAAGACCTACAATTGTATGTATTTACGGTTTTCATCTATCACACACTCTTCTCGAGATATTTGAAAAAGTTTATGTGACAGTCGCACTCAATCTAGGAGCGATGACGTCATTGACAATTACGGCGTACCGCCTAGCATAGCATAGAAAAAATTACTTTCGTGAAAACTATTTACTCTGCCTTTAGCAATGTACTGGGTGTGCCTGTAATTGGCAAAAAAGATTTGTATTATATTTTTTGTCAAATATGTATTTATTAGAACAACTATGAATCGCATATTTTTTATGGTTTTTTAAAAATAGTCGTTTCGATTTATTTTCAATTCCGTTTTCGGGAAAATAATTAAATCATTATTCGAAAACTTTATGTTGACATTGTTTAATTTGAGTATATAATTCACTAAGTAACGAAACAACTTAACACTCAATTCGCAGTGAATAGTTTTTAGTATCGATTTGTCTATCGAATTATTCGATAATGCCCATCACCAGACTAGTAGAACTGAGGCCCAGTTGCTATTAATTTATTTTTATTTCTGTCTTATAATTCTGTGACTTTTGCGGTTTAGTTTTGTTTCTATACGGGGTGGCTGAAAGTGGCTGAGGTCCTGATCAACCCTTTCGGCGAGGACGACGACGACATCGAACTGAACTGGCTGATCGACAGGCATATAAAGGTGAGCGCAGAAAAATAAACAGTTCAATGTATCCGGTCGCGTAATGGGTTCCGCATCGCTACCGCCGTGTTTTCGCTTTCTGCCTCCATTGTGGGAAAAACGAATCGGCATTTGTAGCTAATAACTTACTCAGTGATCGAATGGTACCTCGCTCATTTTCAATTCTCCATATTTCTACCAAATGGGGAACCAGGAACGGGATGCGACCATGCGATGGTTGTTTTAACAGACAAGCAAAGGGTTTCAACAGATTTTGCTTCTGTCGCCTGGAGAATAGAATTGAAAATTGAATGACGCAAGGTTCAAACGATATAGATTTGGATTTTTTTCCTTTCCGTTTGTGCGACGATAAATAATATTAGACAACTGACAAGGAGGCAAGGGAAAAAACAACTGAATTTTTTGATATACAAAGTTTTGGCATAGTTTAAGATCGTCTATTGCTAAATTTATGAACTAAAAGAAAAAGGTTAGCAATTAGTGCAATTAATGGCAGAAAATAAATTACAATACAAAATTGGTTACCACCAATTTCAAATAAAAGAGAAAAAGAATAAAGCTCCAAGAACAAAATGTGTTTTTCTGTGTTTAAGTGTGTAGCATAATAAGAATCTAGACTATTATTTTTAAACGCTCTTTTATGTTCGTTAATGCGTTTTTTGAAGGATCTACCCTTATACACACAAAATGGCTACGTTTCACTCTTTTATATACAGACTTCTTAATACGCCACTCTCAACAGAAAATTTCAACAAAGAACTTAATACCCGTCCATTATCGAAAACATTATAAATAAAAAAAAAATTCAGACAACAGTAAATTCTATTTATCCGAAACTTAATACGGAACACGAACAATTTAAAACAATTACGCACATAGGAGAAGGCAGTGAAAAAGTTTCAAAACATTTGTCAAAATGTGGTTTAAAAATAGCTTTCAGAACTAACAACACAAAAGGAAAACAATAAAATGAAGTGTCCAAAATCTCAAAAATCAGGTGTCTACAGGTTGAAATGCCGATCTTGTCCTAAAATTTATTTATATTGGACAAACAGGTAGATTCTTCAAGAAACGCATTAACGAACATTAAAAAGCGTTTAAAAACAATAGTCTAGATTCTAATTATGCTACACACTTAAACACAGAAAAACACATTTTTGACGACAATTTTGATATTTTACCTACAGCCACAAGAAGCAGAAATTTAAATTTATTAGAAGCCATGGAGATTAACAAATGTATTGCTCAACGATCGATTAGATTTAAATACCTCAACTTAAATTCTCACAACATTAAGGTTTTGTTGTCATTTTTCGATATATACAGTAACAGGTAGTTTGTAAATATTACATTTGATAAAGACACGGTGTTGTCGAAACAATTGTCATGTGAATATATAAAATTTCGTGAAAATCTGAACTTTTTGCTCTTATTTATTTTGTTTAATGGATTTTCATCACATCACATTGTGTTAGACCTCAGCGTAAGTGCAATCTACTGTTATCAAAAGCAAATTTTTCGTGTAATGTCGTTTTTTTTTACTGGAAAATGCTCTAAAACATACCTAAATATACTTGTATCGTCCTGAAGTGCGGCGGTGTTGCCAATAATATCTACATGTATAAAAGTTCGCGAACCTTGTATAAATGAAGATATATGTAATTATTAAATATCGATTAAATATAGGCAAAACAGTTCCATCAGGCAAACATTAGATAACGCCTACCGTATGTTTTCCGTTGAATTGTCTAGGCGGCCTATATTATCGTCGACGAAATGCACGAGGAACACCCGGAGCTGCTCAAGGATCAGTACTGGGACGACGTCGTACCCAAGGAAATTCCTTACACGGTCGCTTCCGAGCACTACAGGAAAGAGGAGCCCAAAGGCTCCGCCGACACTTACAAGGTCAAACCCGTGGAAGCTGTCTACGCGAATTTGGTACCTCACCATCATTTTAAGAAGAGCATCGTGGACGATATGTACGCCGATTACGTAAGTCTAGCCGGAAAAACAACTTTCTAAACCGGGATTTCCCAAAATTTCTGCGCTCCATATGTATACAGGACGTGTCAGAATATCGCCAAGAAGGCAACAATGTGAAAAAAGTTTAGGTGCGGTATCACATCTGTTTATCTTTGGCCAGGGCTTTTCCATGTAAATAGAAACAATTCTGATTTAAAATTAGTTTTTTTTTTCGGTTTTAACTTGTCTTACTGCCTCCGAGGTGTCACTTAATAAATACCACGTCTGTAGATCGAAGACAATTCCTTAGAAAATACGTCACTGGAGCAAAGATTTTTTTTTCGAATAAGAATAAGATCCCATCTTAAATGGCGATCCAGAGTTATACCCAAATATTTCATGGAAACGTTTAAATTCGGGATATTGAGCTACGAACTGTTCTGGTATCTTGCGGTTTAAATGCAGACCCAGAGTTATACCTGGATATTCAATAGATTCCGCTTCAACGATGTCCAAAATGTCTGATAAAAACGGGTATAATATATAATAGAGCTATTCTTCTTCTTCTTCTTCTTCGGAATTTGTGTGTTCTTATGACTTGTAGATATCTTCTAATAAAGTCCAATTCGACCGTTCTTATTTTGTTTCTTATCGTTACATAAATATTCGGTATTATCCATATTCATTTTCAATCCCCACAGTTCCTACTCTTGTTTTAGCTATCTTTAATAACAGAGCTATTATTACATAAAATTAGGTTAAGGTCAAAGTCGTCTACGTAATTTCTCCGTTTACACGAATACGTTTATAATTTACACAAAATAAGTAAAAAAATACGAAAAATAATTTTAAAATTCACACGTCACATTCAAGGTGCATTTACAAAAATAAGTAAATGTAAATTTTGCGAAATGAAGCCAACAATTGTTTACAAACATTTCTACATAAAATATAATATAAAATGTTAAAACAAACAATTATTATCATTAATTTGACATTGAAAACAAAGAAAGCTTACCTGTAATTCTTAAAATTTTAATTTCTCATTGATTTATTATTTTATTTTCGTTATCGACTCTTATCTTTTTTCTAATATTATTTCTAAGATGTTTTTCTAAAAGCCCTTAATGACTTTAACATTAAGGATCTCTATCATTGGTTATAAATATAAATAAGAACAACAGCATATAAATTAAAACATTTTTTTTCCACAAAATATATATTTTCAATTATGTCAACCTGTTTGCCGAATCCATCTTTTCATTTCTGATTTAAAATTGTTTTTATTTTATTTTATTTTTTCGTTTTGAACGTGTTCTATAGAGATTTCATTGAACAATTTAGGAAACAGACCTTCTGTAAGTCAAAGATAATTGATTTTAATAAAAAATGAGTCATGAATATGATAAAAAATGGTATAATAGATAATATTCGTATTATTACATGAATTTAGGTTTATGTTAAGTTGGGCTTTATTTCTTCGCACTACGTTTCGGCGTACTGTGCTTTGGACAAGGTCACGTAGCTCGTCAAAATCGAATTTCGTCGACATATGGGTTGGGTAAATCCCGGGGGCAATTGAAAAGCGATTAGATCCGTACTCGTCGCTGCATTGTGATTCGCAATAAAACATTCGAAATCCTCTGATGGATCGAATTTTGTGTACAGGTTGTGACAAAATGGAATGGAAATATTTCAAGGCCATTTTGATGAGCGGAAAGTCTGTCTGGTGTTTTAGTCAACGCGGTGGAAGTGGAAGTTTCTTTGAATAATCAGCAATCTTTTTGTTTGCTTTCCCATGGGTCGATCCTTCCATATTCTCCAATTCCCCCAATTAGTTTTAATCCAGCCTCCACGCTTCTTGGTCTGGGTAGATCCAAAAATGCATATTTTTCAAAGCGTTAAATTTTTCTAAACAATTGTTTTTCCGTTTATTACTTTTGTATCATTTTCGATATTTTTATTAAATTTGGTGAAGATCTTTTAATTATTGTGAGGCCGTTTTTGACAAAAAAGCTTTACTTTTATTTTTTTATTTTAGTGGCGACCTTACGGGATTTCGACTGAACATTTTTAAAGAAAAAAATTGCACCAACAGCTTTTTCTCAAAAGAAAAATAATTTTTAAAATGCGCACTCAATTTGGAGCAAATTTGGTGAACGAACTTGCTTTCGTACGACACGGTTTTTGCTTAAAAACATAAAAAAACTTAATTTTTATATAAAGTCCGCTTTATTTGAAATCTGGCACGTGTCCGCTACCTAACAGACACCTTTTTGTTAATATTTACTACAGACTTGGTGAAACGGGTAGTTTTAAGAGGTCTGCTCTTATAGAAACACCAAGAATAGTAAGAACGGTTTAGATAGAGCAAGATGTCATAAATGCTATTGAAGAAATTATAAAAGATCAACAACTTACTTTTATCATATGCAACGAGTCAGGGATTTTCCGCTAAAAGTGGCTTTGTGTTGATTTGCACACAGCAAAATCCAAAGTTTTTATCATAAGTGCTGTTTACCGACGAGGCATGTTTTTCCCGTAGCCCAATAATAAACTTCCATAAGAATCATTTGTGGGACCATAATAATCCTCACGCCGTAATTGAAAATCTTTTTCAAGAGCAATTTTCGGTAAATTTTTGGATTGGAGTTATAGGGGATTTCCTTATCGGGTCTTATTTTCTGCCTGGCAGATTTACTGGTGAGGATGTCCCGCTAGAGCAAAGAGGTTCTATGCGGTTTATGCATGACGGAGCTCCAGCGCACTTCAGTTTAATAGCACGTCAGTATTTAGATGAAAATTATCCTGATCGCTGGATTGGGCGTGCTCTGCCACATTTTTGGCCACCCAGGTCACCTGATTTAAATCCAATAGATTTCTTTCGCTGGGGACACTTAAAAACACCAGTCCAAAACGAGGAATAACTAAGAAATCGGATTGTATAGTTATTAGGAACAGCCCTGGTATTTCAAAAAGGGTTCGCCAGTCCCTAATAAGGCGTACAAACGCATGTATCGAAGTCGGGGGAGGTCATTTCCAACAATTGCTCTAATTTATTTTTTCTGGGAGTGTATTGCTTGTAATCTTTTGTTTACAGTTATTTAATAATAAATATCTTCCTGTTAGTAGTTAATTTTTTGTATTTATTTATTTTTTTTAAGCAAAAACAGTGCGTCGTACGAAACATGCAACAAACTTCAATAATTAAAAGATGTACGCCAAATTTGATAAAAGTATCGACAGTGATATAAAAGATATAAAAGGAAAAACTATTTTTTTTGAAAATTTGAACACCCTGTATCTTGAAAAATATGCATTTTTGGTCCTACGTTTATATAAAATTTTTGTCTCAAAATCATTCAAGTTAAAGTTTGGTAGCGTACTTTTTTAACACCCTGCATATTGGAAAACAGTTTTAAGGACCTATCTAATCAAATCAAATATTATGGTCATAATGCAAAAACTTTGTCGATTAATGAGAAATTTCAATGAAAGCGGTCTGTATATTTTTGGAAAATCCGCCAAAATTTCGAGTTTTCTATCCATCGAAAATAAACGGAGAGAATTTCTTTTGCCACGCAGGAGAGCGTGGACACGCCCATCGTGGAGCGCCGCAAAAGCAACAACTGGTTTACGAGGCAGATATCCAGGACCGGAATGGGTTCTATTAGGTCCGCTTCGACTGCTTATTCGTCGGGCGGACTTTTCAACAGACAAAGGGGCAACTCTGTGTACGCGAATCCGGAGAACGGGCAAATTCAAGTGCCCGTCCAGAAAATGTCCATCTACGACCGACTCGTGGGCAGGCGCAGTGGCAGGAATCAAAAGTTGAAAACCAGTAAGTATCCAGAGTTCTGTGGAAAGTGGCTTTTCCGGCTAGTATTGTTAAAAAACGTCATCAAACCTGCAGATGTCAGCTCACAACCTCAGTTTCTGGCTCAAATAGTTGTGGATTTAATAATAATAATAAATAAACAATTTTCAACATGATATGTGCAACTTACCGCACAATATTGATGAGAAAATTACAATACTTAATAATTTACTGTTAGCATTATTTAAATTAAAAAATCACTTATAAAGTAAACCAAAGGCTCCCGGTTGACGGAAAATGTTAAAATATTTATGAAGCAGAGAGATTCAGCTTTACAAAGATTTAAAAGAACTAGGAATATATAAAAATCCAAGGAATTTTACATTGTCTACAATAAGAAGAGAAAAGAGATCTAGATATCTAGATCACTGCGCAATTTTAATAGCTCCAAATAAACTTGGCAGGCTCTAAAGAGTTTTTTTTTTTTTTTTTACTCAAAAAAAGACACTATTCCAAATACCCTGAAGTAATTAATATGTTCTTTTCGCATTTGCTAGAAAAAAAAACTGTAATGATAAAATGCAATATTATCAACACAATTGTTTTAATAATCCTCTACACTTTTCTTTTGAATTAACAAATCTTCCTGATGTTCATAAATATATTCATTAAATTAAAACAAATGCTACTGGGGTTGACGAAATCTCTAGATTTATGCTTCCTTACATTGATAAGTATGTCACTCACGTTATTAATTTTTCCATAGAAGTAAACTATTTTCCAGCTTTTTGGAAAACCATAAGCTTAAAATAATGGCCCGACAAGTTTTAATGACGTAAGAATTATAAGTATATTACCGGCTCTATCAAAACTATACGAAAAAGTTCTTTATAATAAAATGTGTACCTATATAATGGATAATAGAACACCAGAATGTCAGTGCGGTTTTAAACGAAAGTTAAGTACTGCGAATGCTCTTATAAGTGTCATTGTTGATATTGTTGTCCAAGCCACTGACAAAAAACTAACGAGTGCCTTAATACGTGATACGGTGAACCATGACCTATTGATTTCCAAGCTGATTCTCTATGGTTTTTCCTCTGATTCACGCGAGCTGGTTAAATCGTATTTTTCAAATCGATATCAGAAAATATACAGTGAAAGCAGATGTTCGAAAGAAATTGCAAGTTTCTCGGGGGCGCTGCATGGTTCCATTTTGGGGCCGTTATTATTATTATTTTTTTTGATTTACACTTCTGACATTTTAAAATCCTTAAATTTTTGAAAAGTTCAGGCACATGCCGACGACACTCAATTGTATTGCTGTTTTGATTTTAATAGTAGCATAGATGCAGATGTATTTATAAATCAGGATCTTCACAGGATTAGTGAATTTTCTCGTGCCCATAATTTAAAACTAAACCCATCAAAATCGCATTTAATGATATTTGGAAATAAAAATAAAGTTCAGCTACTTAAACAAGATATTAATATAACTTTCATCATCATCACGCTGCCTATCCACTTAATGGATGTTGGCGACCACACGCTGAAATTGGTCTCTATCTCTTGCCGCGTTGACAAGTTCCCCAATTGTTTTTAGACCTGTCCATTGTCTAATGTTCCTTGCCGATGACATCTGTTTCCTTCCTATTCCTCTCTTGCCATCTATTTTACCCTCTAATATGAGTTGTAACAGCTGATACCTATCATGTCTAAAAATGTGTCCGAGGTAGGCCGTTTTCCTGCGTTTTACGGCTGTAAGTAGTTCTCTGTTCTTATGAACTCTTCTTAGTACTTCGTCGTTAGTTACTCTGTCCGTCCACGGGACTCTCAGAAGACGTCGGTAGGTCCACATTTCGAAGGCTTCCACTCTGTTGATCATTTTTGCATTCACAGTCCATGCCTCCACTCCGTACAAAAGTACCGACCAAACATGGCATTTTGCATATCGGACTCGAAGAGACAGGTGCAGGTCTCGATTTCTAAGGATTTTTTCATATCTCATGAATGCCGCACGTGCCATCTCTGTTCTGCACCTAATCTCTTTTTCCGAGTTCCATCCTGCATGCAGCCAACATCCTAAGTATTTGAACTGTGTTACTCGTTCTATATTTCGGTTTTCTATCTGAATTGTGGCATCTGTATACATTGGTTTTTTCCTACTGACTATCATAAATTTGGTTTTGTCGGCGTTAATGTTTATCCCGTATTCGTTGCTGCTGCCACATAACCTAGTACACATTCTCTGTAGTTCCTCATATATAACTTTAGATAGTATTAAACTTTCCGTTGTCGATTCAGTAAAAAAATTGGGGGCGATCATAGATTGTGATCTAAAATTTTGTGAATATTTAAAAAATATATATGTATATAGATATATATTTTTCAAAGATACTTCCACAGGCGACTGTAATACTTCTTACAAAATTTCCGGATTCCTCCTGCGTCGGTTTTTGCTGAGTCGAAATTGCTGACCCTTCGCCAATCATCCTGTTGGCTTCTTCAGAGCTTGACTGAAACTGAGAAACTGAGAAAAGAAGAAAAGCCCTGCCATTTTTTCATGTTCGACATTTAAAAATGCAATACGTATTACGTGATAAGTGATAAAATACAAGATACGCGCTCTGGCGTTCGTTTGAGAAACTAGAACTCAATTTCCGGTATTTGCTGGATTTTTTTTTCTCAAATTTCTTCTTCCGCGAGGTTGAGTCACGTCACGCGACTGGGAATTTTCCAAAGCGTTTTGTATTTTGCTTGTTGTTAAACTGCAGTTCGGTTGAATGATGACGCGTCGAAGCGTAGATAAAAAATCGCTTAAACAGACCAACACGTTTGGCTATTAATCGCCATTAGAACGTCGCCTCAGCATTTTTTTTCCGATATCAAAGTTCGCGTTGTTGTCCCGACGCCGAACCTTAGGAAAGCTCGACAGTGGCGTAAACGTTAAAAATTATTTTTAAAACATTAAATGTAAAAATGTAAAACTGAAAAGTAAATACGGAGATCTGTACCGCGCGTTCAATTTATCTTAACATTTTAATTGGCTGTAACTTTTTTGTTTTTAGAGATATCGAGGTAAACAAAAAAACAATATGTTGGGTTAGTGGCCATATTTTTTAAAATGGAACACCCTGTATCTTTTATATGTGTTTAATATAATGTTATTACGATTACAATGACGTAAAACACTTGATATTGTAGTGCACTGGTTTTTGACAAATCGTCAAAAATAGGAGATTTTTGTATAATTACAAAAAGTGACTTGACTGACTGCAACAACAATAATTATTTACAAATTAAAGTAGAACAAAAACAATATAAATTACAAGACATACTAAAGTAAAAATATGTCAAACTAAATAAATAACAAAAAAAAATGCTGTATGTGAACGCGATTTTCCTGATTGTCTCTTAACTGATTGATTGCCTCTGAAATCCTTTGCGCAAAAGAAAAAATCTATTAAAGTTAAATCGGGGCTTTTGGCTGGCCAATTCATAGTTCCGCCGTTCTCTATTCAACCCCTGCGATACATTTAGGGGTATGGTCTGTTCATAAATATAAGAAAGTGACCAATTGCTTTTTAATGGGATTATCCAAGGGTGGTCATTAACATACAATGCAACAAGATTATTACTTAAAGTTTCGGAATTTAAATTCAGGTAAAATTTTGGTCCGTAATAGAAAATAATTTTATACCTACCTGTGTTTAATATTCTTTGGTTTGGTATACTACTTAGTTTAAGTTTATTAGTAATCATTCTTATTTCGTGTGTAATACAGCGTGTGTTGAATCGTGTGCGAATTTTGCAAAATATGTGCGAGTCTAGTGTATCTCAGGATATGCTCTCGCCCAAATGTTGTAAACAATGTTTATTTGATTGTCATTGAACGTGGTGCCAGCAAGCAAGCATCTTTAGAAGAAACGGCCACATTGACGAAAATTCCAACATCAACTGTATGGAAAATTGTGAATAATCCCATTTCAGCGAGGAAAAAAAGAAGCGATGCTGACAACTGATAAGTGTAAAACAAACGCACCATCAACAAGAGGTAAAAGAATAACTATTTTGCATGCTGGCTCTAAAGATGGTTGGATTCCAAATGGACTTTCTCTGTCTGCGGAAAATATTAAAGATTCTTCTCTGGATCCCTCCACAAAGTTGGGCAAATTCTGTTAAACAGATAGGAAAAGCAGAACAATCGTATATCCATATTGCAAATAATATAGAACAAATAATAATTAGAACAGGTGATGATAGCGATACTGATACTGATATAATATGTGAATAATTTTAAGTAATTTAAGTAGGTAATAAAAATAATTTGTAATTTTATTTTAGATTTAAACATAAATACATACATAAATAAATAAATATTGCTTAGTATCTTTCCTAACAAAACCCCAAATAAGTAAATTCTAAGCAAAGTACGGGCCTGTTCGGCCATATTTCATTCTTACAGCTTGCCCGGGTCTTTCTTTAATTCGTATTAGGTTAGGCACTTTCTTATATATAATAACAGACTTTAAATCTTCTATATATTGTTCAATTTGGTGCTCTAAGAGTTGCAAATAATGATCTTCAGTTAACTTTTGCTCTATTAATATCGGACCGATCTATGACACGACACCATACATTAATTGATTGGTACCCCTGGAAACTAGATGTGCTTCATAGAATCCGAATATATTTGCCTTATTTTCTTTATTTAAAACATTATGATTCCTGAATCATTTCATACGTTACCGTTTTTTGCAAATTTGCGTTGTACTTTTATTATTCAGAAAGTATACTTGAAATATATCACTACTTTTGCGAATGCTAAATTCGCGAAAAACCATTTTAACAACAATGACTTGGACAAAAATTGAACCATCAACGTTGTTTACTAATACGTCAAACATAAACATATTTCTATCTGTCAGTCAGGGCACTCTATGAAATTATATAAGGGTTGGATTAAAATATAAAGTTTGTTTACATCATTGTAATCGTAATATGATATTCTATTAAACACGTATATATACAGGGTGTTCCATAAAAAAAAGATGCATGCTTATGTGTCAGAAAATTGATAGTGTTTGTCGTTTACCGATCGAAATTTTAACGTAAAAAGTTACTTATTACCGCATATTTACAACGCCCGTAGACAAATTCGTTTTAAAATTCGCCGTACATCCTGCGTTTGTCTCTAACCGTTTATCGAATCCGTTTAAAGCGAGACTCATTAACAAAATCATAATCGTCGTAATTGCCAGTCAGTGAAAACAAGTTTTTCGCAGGCACTGGTTCAAGGTCGAGTTGCCCTCCATTGAGGTTCCACGTATACGTTCAAACTGTCAAGAAAAAACTCGATTGATTGTGATGTAAACGATGTTGTTGTTTGTCTTCATTTTTTTCCCCTTATCAAGTACAAACTACGATACTTTTTTGAGATACATGGTGGTAAATTTTTCAAAAATAAAATATATTTTTTTACTATCTGTAAAACCACTTTGAACATTTTAATGAAATTTGAGACAAATTTATTATGTATCAAGAGACAGTCTATTTAGTCGGACATTGATGGTACGCCACTGATTTCTCCTTAAATAAAAATTATTTTTACAATCGCCATTCATTTCTTCAGAAATTTGGTTTCTTGATTTTTTTCAATCCGAAATAAAAACCTCGTTAATATGACGGCACAGAAGAAAATCAGTGGCGTGGCAGAAAATCAGTGGATCGGTCAAAATAGTTATAAAGTTAGCTTCATCTGTTCATAGTATTTCTAGGTCAAATAAAAACCATCGACAAAAATTGATAATTGTGCGAAATGTTCAGATTATTTTAAATTCCTCTATTACTAAGTTCGGGATTTTCATTAACAGAATCTACATTTGTTTCTTCAATTTCTGCAATTCTTACACTCTGATGAAATGATTATTTTCCCTCAAAGTACCCGTTTCACTCCACCTTCTTCAAAAGTAATTTTAAAATGTTCGTCTATTAGGAGAACGTTCTTGGTTTCATCGCCTAGCTTCAGGCGCACTACCATACCGAATTAATGAAGAAGCTTTAATTACGGGAAACCCACTTAGTCCTTTGTTAGCCGAGATTGTTTTGGATAATTTGGAAAATATCATACTAGAACGTACTTTAAGTAAAAGTTTTCTATGGTGGTATAGACATGTGGATGATGTCTTTGCTTGCTTTGTCGGAACGGACAGACAAATGAATTCTTTTTAAATTACATTAACTCATTACATTATCGTATAAAATTCACTATCGAGATTGAACAGGATAACTCTATTATTTTTTTTAAACTTCACTATTACGAAAACGAAAAACAAATGAGATTTTTCCGTTTATCATAAACCTTCACACACAGACACAGTCATTAATAACAGCTCAAATCACCCTTATACATACAAAATGGCGGCATTTCACTCTTTTATACATAGATTTCTTAATACGCCACTTTCAACAGAAAATTACACGGTGTTGTCGAAACAATTGTCATGTAAAAATATATAATTTCGTGAAAATCTGAAGTTTTAGTTCTTATTTATTTTGATAAATGGATTTTTATCAAGTAAAAGCCATCTAAGTTCAATTTCCAAAGAACGCCTCACACAGATAAACAATTACTAAAGTACGAAATAGCAATGATAATGCTCGCATATTAACGACATTGTTGGGGCCGTGAGGAGAAGAGGTTCTAATTTTTTTTAAGCGAAAATCGTGCATCGCATTTGATAAAATCAACAAATTAAGATTGTAGGAATAATTTTTATTTTTAGAGGAATTAGTGGCGCAACAACAATAAAATGGGGTACACTAAACAATGCCTCTTTATAAAATAAGTGGCATTACACTATTCTGGTGTTCTTAGTGTGAGTATGCTGATCTCTGTCAACCGACGCGTTTCAGATGCTAAACTGAACGGTGCGGCCGCGTTGCAAGTGAAACATCGGCCGCGCATCCCCACCCCCGACGTCACCAAAGAGGTGGTGGACAGGGAGAGCCGCCTGGCGGCCAGCGTGGCCAACACCGTCAGCCAGCAGATGGCCACGGGGCTCACCCTCATGTCGCAGTTGCCTCCCAACCACGGCTACTCTCCGAACGACGCGCCTATCTTGCAGGTATGCCACGCGGATGGTTTCGACAACCCACCCTGAGAATCGCTCGGTCCTCTAGGTCTTGCTCTCCCCCATCCAAGAACTCGACGGCACCGGCTCCGTTAACAACACCCTCCACGCGAACCAGCCAGGCACCACGGCCCTAGCACAGGCGGTTTTATCTCCCGGTGTGGGTCCGGTACTGGGCGCACCCGTCACAGTACCCATGACGGTATCCCAATTAACGTCCCTGGGTATCACTTCGGTGCACAACAGTCCTCTCGTCGCGAGGTCCTTCCAATCCGAAAATCCCCTTTTCGTTCAGGCTTTCGACACGTCGAAGGCAACGGCTCCGACAATCACCGAACTCCAGGGGGCCGAAGATGAGCGCGAGGTAAACAGCGACTTCTCCCACGCCTCCAAGGACTCCATCACCTCCAATACGTCGACCGCGACCGCGTCGATAGCGTCGGCACCACCAATGCCCTCCAGCTCGCCTAGGACGAAGCGTTCCTCTCCTCCAGTACCCCCGAAGCAGGAAGTCGCGGATAGACTATCGTCCAGCGCTTCCGCGCCCAATTCTCTGTCTTCGTTGGGCGGGGGACACCCGGGGGACGGCCCCAAGATGAGGAAGGTGTCGACGGTGTCGCAGAACATGGGCAACCCTCCCAAGAGGGGTGAAGTTTACGTGTAGGCGGCGCGAGGTGTACATAGGATCGATATGCTGACGTTTGTGATATAGTAGGGGTAGTTTGTTACGTTCATAAGTATCTTGAGGGGGAAATTTACGACGTGGAAAACGGAAATCAACGACGCGAACAAAAATTGGGCGGTTAATTTATTTTTTCTATTAGACAGTTGTTGTTTCGGAAAAATATAAGTTTTTGAAGTACTCAAAGGCGTTTTGATGGGGTGCGGGCGAATAACTCCGGAAAATTCAAAACTAAAAAATCCTCCCGATTTTTGACCTTTGAGCAATAAGTACTTTGTTTGAAGGACGAGCATTTGATTTTTTTTGATCTGTGGATTTTTCTTATCATCTGTTTCAAGGTGTCAGTTTCTTCTCTAAGTAATCCTGTTGATTTCTTATTTCTTTTCAAAGTACGATGAACCAATCTCCTAACCCAGTTACTTATACGAAATCATAGCAAGTTAATATATTATAATATAAATTTTAAGGTAGACTTGGGCCGAAACTACAGTGCTTTTATAACCGACCACGTCATGTGGTTATTGGTTTTGCCGGTAGAGAGGGCACCAGTTATACTTCGGCCAGAACTGTAGTGCTTTTACAACCGATCCCGTGATTAACTTTGCCTACTGCTTATTACTCCAAAACCGCAGCAGACCCTTACCCGTAACCATTCCAAGACCGTCCTAAGAATCTATCTACCGAAATAACAAGTGTTACAGGCAGAACTGGCAGTTTCGTACTTAATTTATTTCACTTCATTGAACAAATAAAAAGCATTCCATTAAATGCACAAGATATTCTGGTTAGTTTCGACGTTTCGACTTTACTAAAGTTCCTATTCCTGAAACTTTCACCATCATTTCGGATATTTTAAAATCCGAAAATCTGGAACCAAACCTTCTCACCTTAATTGAAAAAGGCTTATCTGGAACATGATTTTCTTATAACTGTCAAATTTTTAAACAAGCGTTGGGAACAGCTATGGGTTCTCTAACATCTAAAATTAAAATGATGGAAATGCTACATCGATGATACTTTTGTTATTTGGTCTATCTAGTAGATTTTCTTAGACATTTAAACTCTATACACTCTAACAAACGTTTATCATTAAAACAGAAACTAATAACAACCTCCCATTCTTATATATTCTTATCAATAGAAAATCAGACCCAACATTGGGTCACTGTGTTTACAGAAAACCTACACACAGACCTATACCTTACTGCATTGTCACATCACCATCCGAAACAAAAATCATAAGTTATCAAGTCTCTTGTTTACAGAACTGTAAAACTATCTCAGTCATTAAAACACCTTACCTCTGCTCTTCTCTCTAATAATTTCCTAATAATAATAATCCTACACTTGTCACTGTCAATTCTAAAGAAATGTAACGTCGCAACCGGATTTACCACTTGCCCAAAAATCTCCCAACATCTTCGATCCGTCAAAGACAAAATTCCATTTGAGTTGCTACGGGCTTACAGCATTCCATGCATATGCGGCAAAGAATATATTGGAGAGGCCGGACAAAAAATTTCAACTAAGCGCAAAGAACATGAAAGAACCTTAAGACAAATAAACTCATCAGCAGTTGCCGAACACAATCACGAAACTGGACCTAAAATTGTTCTTCTACCAACGAAAAATACGAGAGTTTATAGAAATTCATAAAAAACCCAACAATTTTAGCTCCGCCCCCCTCGGGGGCGGAGCTAAAATTGGTACAGAGTAAAATGCAAGCCAGTTTCAGTCAAGCTCTGAGAAGCCAATAGGATGGCGAAACCTTCAAAGTTCGATTCAGTAAAAATTGACGCAGGAGGAATCCAGAAATTTTGGCTACAAGCGACGAAACTTACCTTTTAACTTTTACTTACTTCTTGGACTATTTTCTAGTCTTCCCAATTGCCTACCTTCTTTTCTTCATTTAGTTGAAGCATTTCTTCTTTCCTCTAATAATCTTGCCGCTGAAATCTGTTCGACGTAAACAAACTCCTTTCGTCATCACTTTGTGATGAAGAAAGTTCAACAAATTCGGAGGTATTTAACTTTGAAATACTCCTAGTGCAGCGATTTGGGGATTAAAGGTTGAAATAACCAAAAAACGGATTTTGGGGAAACAGAAAATATTTTTTTAGATATGTTCCGGTCTACGTACAGCGATTGCGCTGATACCACTAACGGCTAATCACAAAAGGGATATTTCATCAAAATTTGAATAAATCGACCTGGGGATTAGGGGTTGAAATAAGCACAAAACGGGTTTTGGGGAAACACAAAATAAGTTTTTTAGATATGTTCCGGTTTGTGTGCAGCGATTGCGCTGATACCCCTAACGCATAAACACAAAATTGATATTTCATCAAAATTTGAATAAAGCCACTTGGAGATTAGGGGTTAAAATAAGCGAAAGACGGATTTTGGGGAAACAGAAAATATATTTTTTAGATACGTTCCGGTCGATGTGCAGCGATGTGTCGATACTGCTAACATAGAGTCACAAAAGGGATATTTCATCAAAATTTGAATAAAGCAAGTTGGGGATTAGGGGTTGAAAAAATGGATTTTGGGGAAACACAAAACATTTTTTTTGGATACGTTCAGGTGTATGTGTAGCGATTGTGTCGATTTTGTGGAAACATGGATACGTTTATATTTGCATAAAGCAACCTGGGGATTAGGGGTTGAAATAACCAAAAAACGGATTTTGGGGCATGGCAAAATATTATTTTAGATACGTTCATCAGTATAACCCGTTTGAAATATCTTAAGTTGTTTAACTTGTGCTGTAGATCTTTAGATTTAGATCAGTTGTCAAAATTGTTAAAATAATTGCAAACATAGATAATATGGTTGCTATCAAGGCAGACTTGACCATTTTTAAGCAATATTGCTATTGTCCAGAAATCGAATGATTATTATTTTTAAACTGGAAAATCTCAAAAACCCCCAAAATGCAATGTCAATAAGCTATATGTTTTTGAAATCAGAAAAATGGGATCTACGATATAAGCTGATAATATATATAGGGCATTCCATTTAAAATAAATGATATCGCCGTCATTTTGGCAGCGCGCGATCGTCTGCTTTTTCTGATGACAGAGCAAAAATCTTTAAACTTTTTTGTTTACACTTTTTTTTCAATTTTGCAAAATTAACCCTGCAGGTGTTTGTCAAAATATAATTAATAACGCTGTGCGGGGTAAAAAAAAAGCAAAAAGGTAATGAAAATTTGTCACTTTCGTTGGTAAATCATTAACAGCAGAAATGAAAAGTTACAAATCATGGGATAATATAGATAGTTTCAGGTTTCGTCAATCGTACAGGGTGCGCGAGATATTTGAATAAAGATCATTGGAAATCGTCATTGTTTGGCATTTTTCGTATTTAACAAAGTTTGCCGTGACTTTGAAGTTCGGCTATACGTGAAAGTCACTTTACAGGATGCTTCCGCAATAAAATTACGTCGATTTTGCAAAAGTGCCATAGTGGTCCGCAATGCGTCCCTTCGGGGCAAGAAGCAGCTTGATAAATGTCCTTTGTGGTCAGGATAATATATCACTTTACATCAAGAAGTTTTTTCACCTATCCTGTGAGATTTTTCAACTGAGATGCGAGGTATCAGTACTTCCTAGCGGGCTTTTGTTCAAATGTTCTCGTTTAATTAGTCCGGTATCGGGCTGCAATGGCGGGCAACGGTACTGTGCCTGTTGCCGCGCCATTTTCCACCGTCGAGATAAAGCAGGACCCAATTCCGAACGATAAATAATACTGTTTTGTTGCAAGAAAGTAGTCGACGGTACTACCTGTATCGTTCTGTGTTATCAACACACTGCGGGTGTACCATTCCTTATACGGGCGTCTAGGAAATACCAGTTTGGTATTTTGCTTCGAGGTTTCGCGAGATTTACGAGGCGGGCTTTTTTTTACCCCAACCGAGAGCGTATTTGCATGTCCGCTGATGACGCAGACAGGGCACCTGAGGACGGTGTAAAAATGCAATTGTTTACAGAGCTTTCATGACCTTGAAGGAAGCTCTATGTTTCGATAGCACAACGACGTCCGTAAAACTTCCTCTGGAAGTTTGACAGGACATAGGGTATATCCTACGGATATACAGTTTCAGCTAAGGGACGTCTCAAGGATATACGATGGAACATGATGTTTGTTAGAACATCCTAAGGATATCCAGTTATGCTAGTTGAGACGTCGTTAGTATATCCGATTGTGAGGATATAGGATCCTAAATAGATATTCCAGTATACCTTACCTGTTAGATTATTTCCAACAGCCTATTAGAAATACTGGAAAGATAATGTGGTTGTACGACTACAAAAATTCTATCCCAGTATTTGGTAGTCGTGTGTGATGGAATTAACCCATTGGGTTGTTGGTGAAGTCATCACTGCAGGTGAAATTTGAAACGCACAATTTTTTTCCAATTAATATTAAACCTTTAATTTTGCTTTTCATGGTAAAAGTGAAGGACTGCCGACTGATACCATAAATAAAACACATTTTATACGCATCCGATTTTTTATATTGTAGGTATGAAAAAATTGTACGTATATAATATAGCAAAAAAATAGAACAACCTAACCTAAAGTAACTTAAAAATTGAGTAAAATCTTGAATTAAACTCTAAAACAACAACTAATATTTCACAGGCTTTCTGTCATTCTTTGATGAAAGTAGCTCTTTTCAGACAAGCAGCTATTGAATTCTAACATTCTTTTGATGTTCCTTTTTTTTTTGCTCGTCATGCTATCCTGAAAACAAGCGTTAAAAAATAGGGAAAACGTTTTCATGAATTAATCCAACAACCATTTTATGATGATTTTCTGAAGGCTGATTATCAAAATTAATACTGTGTTTTTGCGGGGTCATTCTTGCATCCATTTTAAGAAAAAGTGCCCTAACTATACTATATAACTAAAAATATAATTTTGTTCTGGGGTATTTTCTCTAACATTGCTTACTTCAATAAAAAAATAATTTAGTAAAAAAGTAAAGCAAAGCAGTTTATTATTAGCAGAATATGCTACTAAACATCAACAAATTTTAAACAAATCTACATAAAATTATAAGTATTAATAGTAAATCTAACAAATCACAATCATACTTAAACAAAAATAATAATAATAATAACATTGCAACAAGAAATTATAAAAAATACATAATGAGGGAAAATATTCCAA